CGCTGTCATCTCACCATCGCGGGCGGCAAGTAACGGGAGCTGGGGGAAGCGGAAGGGGAGCTCAAAGCGGGTTTCACCTCTTCCCTGTTCCCACACCCCGGGCCTCGGCCCTCTGGCTCTTCGCGTCCCTCCCACTCGGGGTCTCGGGGAGACTCCCCAAGGGCAGCTGGTGCCGAAAGCCTCCCGCTCTCCCTGCCCGCGTGCACGGAGCGGAGGCCACCCCGGGAACTCCCTGCCGACGCTGCAGGCTCACAGAGGGCAGACAGGGCCAGGCGGGGGCAAACAGCAGGAAGCAGCTCATGTTTTCTCCAGCCCAAGACACGGGATGTTTTCCCACAGGAAGGTAAGCCCCTCCGTTACATAGGACGAAAACCCCTTTCCTCCACATTAAAACCCCTAATCCCCGTGTCTCGTTTTTGAAAGGGAAGATGGGCGGGCAGATAACCCGTTTTTAGCCTTACGGAGGACTCTGCACCCACGCTCCTGCCAGTGGTGTCCCGTAGGAACTGGTGGGCACCAGGGACAGCAATCCTGGAGCAGTTCCTTGACCAGGAAGCACCTAGGAGCACGGAATTTAAAGCCTTGACTCCAGTCATTTCTACCCCCAGGGTTTTTGGTGTTCTTCTTTAGGCCAGGTCAGCTCCAAGAGGATTCCCGAACAGGAGCTGGCCCAGAGCCTCTCCTGGCTGGAACCGGTGCTGTGCTTTGTGGGACAGCCACTCACCTGCCCCCAGGGCTGGCTGCAGGGACAGGGTACAAGCCCGTGCCTCCCGGAGCCCAGTTCCCCCTTCCCTACCTGTAAGACAGTCAGAGGCTGTAGGCCCAGGCCTCCCCACGACACCACAGGGTGGAGAAAAAGACCAGGGGCCCAGGGCTGCGTGACAGGGGACCTCTCTTTATTTCGAGTCACATCAGCTTTGCAGACAAGCGCTGCTCACAGCAGCAGTCCAGCCAGTCAGAAGCACACGACTGAGAATTCCGTTTCACAGGTTACTCCCCAAAATACCTCCACGTAGACACACAGATCATTTATAAATAGGAAAACTCACGGCAGAAACATTTGAGTCGTGTGGCATTCACCACGGACCTGTCAGCAGTAAATAAAGTAAATCCAGATTATCCCAGGGTCAGCATCTGTGGTGGGAACAGAGCTCAGAGCATTCCAATTCCATGGTAAGGGGAAAAGGAAACCGTCTCTCCCCCAAGCCGAGGCTGTTGTCCCGCAGCTTGAGCCTGCTGCCAGTAACGACCGGCTTTCCCATCTCAGCCCTACAGCAAAGGGAAGCACAGCGAGCCGGGGGGCACGGAACGGGCCCTGGGCAGTCTGCTCCCAGCCTGGGCGCAGTCGGTACCAGCGTGGCCACCTGGGAGGGGAAAGGGGAAGGTGCTACGGAAAACAACCGGCTCAGAGAAGGTTCCCCTTTCTCCCAAGGCCAGTCACAACGCTCTGCGTCGCATCTGCCGCGGAAAGCTGCAGCGTTGCTGCTCCCCTTCAAACCACGCGAGTTGAGGGAAGAATAATCCCTTTATGCCCACACTCCGAAACACCTTGGTCCCAGTGGACCAAGGAATCCCTGCAGCTTTACCTGGCCTTGGCCCATCCTGTGACGTGGGAAGGCGCCGGGTGCTTTGGCAGCGAGACAGACTCAGGACAGGGTGGGGGGCCTGGCATGGGGGAGGGCCGCGCGGTCAGAGAGCGGGGCAGCAAGAGGGAGCGCAGCAGCAGGGATGGGGCTACAGCTCCAAGAGAACTGTCAGAGCTGCCTGGGAACACAGGGGCGTGTCCTGGAATACACGTGTATGTGCGCCGTTGTCTAGTTAACATTAACTCCTCGTTAGTAGCAGCAGCGCCTCCCCCACCTCAACGTCTCTGTCGGAGGGCAAACCCGAGCTGTGTCAGTGTCTGCCACTCCTCGCCACGGGGAGGCCGAACGGGAACCTCCAGGTCAGTCACCGGCAGAGATGTTGGACCAGCTGCTCAAACTGCTCCCGCTGCTGGTAGATGTAAAGCTGGGTGTCCCAGAGAGCGTTCACCAGCACGGCGTCGTTCACCTCGTCCAGCATCACTTCCGTCTGCAGCTGAGGGCTGAGCCTGCGTAGGGCGAGACGGCGTCACCGGCCGGGCACAAACACGGGCGCGGCGAGGCAGCATGCGTGCCAAGCACAAAACTCGCACCAAGTGGCTCCCACCATCCTGGGAATTCACTTCCCTTTGTCTAGCAGGCCTGCGGAGCAGAGGCCTTCCCCCTCCCTCCAAGGCTCAACCGTGCTCGAGGCCAAGACTCAGTCAGCCTGCGTAGGGCGAGACGGCGTCACCGGCCGGGCACAAACACGGGCGCGGCGAGGCAGCATGCGTGCCAAGCACAAAACTCGCACCAAGTGGCTCCCACCATCCTGGGAATTCACTTCCCTTTGTCTAGCAGGCCTGCGGAGCAGAGGCCTTCCCCCTCCCTCCAAGGCTCAACCGTGCTCGAGGCCAAGACTCAGTCACGCAGCCGCACAGCGGGGTAGGGCTGAAGCGCACCCTCTGCATGACAGCACCCCCCCAGCCCCCACTAACTGTCCCCAGACAAGGCATGCTCAGCTCATGGAGCGGGCCGTGGCATCCTCCAACGCGTCACTGAGGGGGCAGGGGGACAGGGATGCCGCCGGAGGAGAGGCGATTTGGGATGGCGTGTGCCGCGGGCAGGTCTGAAGCGAGAGGGCTAAAAATAGGCGGGTGCAGAGAGCGGGAAGGAAGCTCCTACCGAAAATATGGGACATCCGTCATCTCACACCAGGCCCTGGCACGATCCACAGCTGGGCCATCTGCGTCAGTGCACTGCAGGAGAAACAGCCCACGGTTAGAGCCCGATGGACGCTGCTCTCCCCCCGCGCCATCACGAACTCTCACGAGCCGCAGAGAGAGAGGGAAAGCTAGGAGCAAGCGCGTCCTGGATGGCAACGTTCACGTCTGTTTAAGGTAAGAACACTGCCCCGGGATCCTCGGGACACAAGGCATTGCACCCTACAGATCCTCCATCCTCCTTGGGATTTCACCTCTACCCACTGCTGTCCAAGCCCAGCACCAGTAGAGCCTGAGGGTACTGCAGGCTTCCTGGGCTGTCCTGGGACAGCTTCCCTGAGAGCCCTGAAATAAGAGACAGGGGAAGCAGAGGGACCTCTCCAGGTATTTTCTGGCTTTAGGAAGCTAAGAGGAGACAAAGTGAGAGAATTATAGTCAAAACCTCAGTTCTGGATCTCTCTGGCTTTCGCTCCTTCGGAGTGTTTTCATGTACATTAAAAGCTTATTTCATTTAATGAGCTTCTTTCCAAAGCATCCGAGAACGAACCCTCATTACACACAGCTCTCAGCTACTGCTTTTTGTTGGTGACACTCCCACTTCTCCGGCATTTGCTCATTTCCCTGGTGGGGATAACAAAGCTTTGCCTAAGGAAAACGAACTGCTGTTTTCTGAGCAGTGATTATTTTTGGTCCAGGTTGCTCAGATGATAATCAACGCTCCCTGGAAAGATAGGGAGTTTCACGAGTGTTCCTAGGGGTCACTGGCCACCATCCCGCCCTCGGCTCTCCCACACCTCAGCTCCTTACAGCTGCAGGAACTGCCCTTCCCTGGGCACTCGGAACCCTGAACAGGCAAGCAGAGCCTCAGACCTGCTGCGCCCCCGCAATTCTTAGGTTACCCTCTATATCCATTCCTTGAACTGGCCATGGCCAGAGCAGTTCCAAGACAATTTTCTTCCAAAAGGAAGAAGCTGAAGACCGGAAACCTTTGCTCCCTCCCCGCAAGCAGCCCCAGGGGTTTTCCCCCACCCCTCCTCCCAGTACTCACACAATCCACCACCATCTTGCCAAGCTCCCTGGCCCCAAAGACGGTCTTCGCCAGCTCCCAAGGGTTGGAGGGGCGGAAAACATCCACAGAGCTCACGGGGACCTGCGGAGGTTTGCCCGTCCCCAGGGAGACCACCAATCCCAATTTCCTTACTTTCTGCCTCTGACCCTGTGGATGGAACAAAGCATTTGTTTGCGAGGACCAGCGACGAGGGTGCAGCGTGTCTGTCGCAGCAGTCTCGGGAGAGCCCTCATAGCCCAGGCAAAAGACTTGGTGGCCTTTTCTCTCCCCCACCTTCAGTCCTGCCTGCTGAGACAGGCATAACCCATGACTGCACTGTTCTGGCCCTGACATCCACAGCCATGGGACCAACCCAGAGATGAGCCCTGGGACCGGATGACTCCAAAACAGTTCACCTCCTTCAGGCATTTTGGCCACACAGCTCCGCTTTCAGCTACAGGGAGCGGGAGCTGCCAGCAGGTAGCCATCTCCCTGAGGAACCTGCCACACCACAGAAGGCACTCGCTCTTCAGCCTCGCAGAGTGACCTACTGTTGTCCTCTCTGTTTAATTTTGGGCAGAAAAAGGCCCCGCAGAGCTGCGTCAAGAGCCACACACAACTATCAACCGAATCATATCCTTACCCAAAGCAGCAAGGACAGGCTGATGGGGCTGCCTCCCCGTCCCACACCCATGTCAGAAGGGGTATTTCACCTCTTGGCCACCATTCCCAACACGCATCCCTCT